AATATTGTTGAGATGCTTCTGGATACCCAAGTGAAGATTGAAGGTTCCTACACATTTTACAAGCTCTTCCTAAGCTTATATCAATTTTACTTGTGTTGTAAGTTGGTGAATCAAGCCAACAGCTGTAAAGAATGTTGAGATTTTATTTCTTGAAAATTACGATTGATGGGACTTTGAAGAGAAAATTAATTAATATGTTTGACAGAGTAATTTCAAACATGAAGAAATGGGTGTTTAACTTTATTGCAGACAAAATAGAAACCCGTTTGGTTTAGAGTTAATTTTATCAACCGTATTCGGCTTGAGAATATTTTATTAATAAATGGAAAAGTTATACTGTAAAATAAGATTTGGTCGTGTGATGAATTAGTTAATAATGATTTTAATGTCAGTGATCAATGCAGATATGGTACTTAATTTTAATATAAAGCCAATCAATCTCTGCATGCTGGCTGGGACACGAGTAAGCAAGTGTTTGTGTACGTAGTTGTGCAGGTGTGTGTGTGCGCGTGCGGGGCAAGGCGTGGGAGGAGGTGGTGGTGGCAAGTGTACGGGACACGTGGGCTGGCAGGTAGGAACCACTTGGCCACACACACACACAGTTAATAGGTTTTGCTGGTAGTCGAGTGTCTCATAAATAGTATTCTGACCCGGCTACCCACTCGACGTCACCAACAACGTGTTAACTTATTGTTACACAATACAGATTTTACTCTTAGTTAATTACTGCCATTTAAAAGTTGAACGTTTTTTCTCCTGCCCCCCAGTGAAGGGGTAGAGAAAGAGATCACGTGAAAATTATCCCCCCTTCCCCCACCCCCTCCCTCCAACCTGTTACACCCGATGATTAAATACCCTAGTTGGTGGGTTAGCGTTACATTGGTTAAATACAGCTAATAGAAGCTGGGTGGCTGATCTCGTGATTCCAAGATGCCCCCCCCCCCACAGGTGGTTCACGCGTAATGAACGACGGAGCGTACCCGGGTGCGTTGACTTATGGTATGTTCGTAGTTCAGAAGACAGCTGGTGTCCCTACTTCAGGAGACAGCTGGTGTCCTTACTTCAGGAGACAGCTGGTATCCCTACTTCAGGAGACAACTGGTGTCCCTACATCAGGAGACAGCTGGTGTCCTTACTTCAGGAGACAGCTGGTGTCCCTACTTCAGGAGACAGCTGGTGTCCTTACTTCAGGAGACAGCTGGTATCCCTACTTCAGGAGACAACTGGTGTCCCTACTTCAGGAGACAGCTGGTGTCCTTACTTCAGGAGACAGCTGGTGTCCCTACTTCAGGAGACAACTGGTGTCCCTACTTCAGGAGACAACTGGTGTCCCTACATCAGGAGACAGCTGGTGTCCCTACTTCAGGAGACAGCTGGTGTCCCTACTTCAGGAGACAGCTGGTGTCCCTACTTCAGGAGACAGCTGGTGTCCCTCGTTTAGAAGACAGCTGGTAGTCTATGCATGATAGACCGGACTTGATGGTATTGACCGCTGGCATGCCAAGCACGAACGACCCTGAAATTTACAAGCATGCCGATTTAGTTTTTGTGCATGCTAGAGCGAGCCAGGAAGCCACAAGCTTTAAGATTGCTAGGAAACTGTCTCGATACAATTATAAGTTTCACCGTGAAGGTACTACTTATCCCCAGTTTTCTTTAAGAAGTGCGCGAATTCTCGGAAAAGTGTCACGTGATAAGGTGAAAGGTTTCTGCTGGTTAGAGCGGCCGATACGGTGTAGGTTCAAGATGCCCGTATTATGGTAAAAGCGAGCCAGGAATACACACATCACCCACACACACATGAACATCGTTGGTGGGAGGTGTTTAGCCTGAGATGAGGAGGCGGCGGCACTGACACATATTTCCCAGAAGGTTCGGCAGCAGTTGTGTTGTGCGCTCAGCTTTGCACTGACTGTCACTCCCTGCAGTTTTGTTGTTGTGATGTCCTAGCGTTGTTGGGGGTGGGTGGTACTCTAAAGTGGCACTGGCTTGTTCCAGGAATAAGAGTTTTTGTACTTTTGATTATGTTGCGTCTACTCATGGGCTGATCGAATGTTTGTGCAGGATGTGTGATCTTTACACGGAGTTGACCCTTTGGCTCCTGAGTGCTTCCCAGAACCAAATAAAACCGTCTGGTTGTAGCCAGCAACAATCGGCGGGAAAGGTTTGAGTAACAACGATGAAATTTTTTTAGATCTTGGACGTAAATGGATATTGGGCACAGACGATGAGTGACGACAACAAGTGTGTTTGGGGGGTGGGGGTAGTGGGGGTGGCGTGAATTGTTGACACCACGTTACACAGTGTCCTTGGGACCCTGTGTAGTGTGCGGCTCCAGTCTGGCTGTTCGTTTATCCTCACGGTTTAAAGGTCTTCGCCCTACCTGAATTCCTTTACCTTCGTGGGTAAACACGTCAACTTAACCCACCCACCCCAGGTAGCGTTAGTCATTAAGGTGAAATAATTCGGGGTGCTTAATTTTCAGGTGATCCCCTTCTAGTTAGTATTTTTTTCTAGTGTTTGATGTTAATAGACGGCAATGTCCGAGTGTAAGTTTCCACATGTTATGAGAGAAGGTATCCATGGTTGTGAATCATCGTGATGGTCATGCATTGGAGGCATCCACTGGGGGCCCCGCGGGGTGGGGGTGCTTATGCTCGTGATTGTTAGTCGCTTCTTTTATGGTGTTCTGTGACGTCATCTACCCAGCCATACACACGACATGTCAAGGCTCTTCTTACTGAACAGGTGTCCTTGATATTAAAAGATAGTAAATTAATGTTGTCTCTCAGATGAAGTGAGATAAGAGAGGCGTTACATAACAGTGTGTAAGTCTAATTATTGTCATGGGTTCATACAGGTAGTGTAAGAGTGTGTTTTCCAGGTGGGAGGGATAAGTGACTCGGAAATACTGGCGTGTGGGTATTTGCTCAAGGTGACAAGGAAACGTGATCCAGAACACTGTCTCAGGAGTAGGCGGTGAGTGGGCTTGTATTCCTGGTGACTCAGAACACAACGCTAAGAGCAGGTATTGAGAGCACGACGTGTGATATGTATATAAACATCGACCGTAAATGAGGCGGTGAATGAACATGTGCACATGATGATACATGAGTGAGGGGGCGGTGTGTGATAGCGTGTGTGCACGAGAAGGGGGAGGTGGGGTGTTGAAGGTCAGAGCGGTGAGTGCCACGTTAGCGGCAACGTGAGGCAGCCAGCGGCCGCCACCATCGATCCCACCAGACCCCGCCCAGGTGCCACCCAACCCCAGCCTTCCCGCCAAAACCTACGAGTTCCCGCCAAATTCTCTAGCCTCTCACCAGCAGGCAGAGCCCCTCCCTCTCCCCCCAGCGATGCATTGAAACTTTTATTTTGTCGCAGTAAATTGGTATGTTTATATAAATGTTTCATTGTGTGGGGGTTTCTTCTCGTCCGTCAGTCTGCTTATTGCATGGTTGCATAATGATAATTGTAAATCAAAATCTATCTTTTAATTACAAAAAAAGAAAGTTGGCATCAAGTTTGGCATCTGTACGGTGTTCTGCAAGTCTTGTAATTACGTTTTATATCATTATGTTGACAAAAAGTTAGCGTCTGGCTTTGTTGTGTTATCTTTCTTGGGATTCCCTCCGCCTCGCTGTGTTCATACAAAAACAGATAAAGACGACTGTTATAGGAAACACGTGACCGCCACTTGGATTGAGATAGGCTTACTTGAGGTCATGTTGTGTACACGAATTTATGAACGTGGACCTGTGTACTGGTGAATCTCAGGTGCATCTACAATGTGTGTGTGAAGGAATTTAGACATCGTTTGTACTCCTTAAGAGTATGTGTACGTAGAATTATTATTCGCACCTGTGTGGTTAACCATCGTGTGTAATTCAGGTAATAGTTCAAAATAAACAATGATGGTTTGAGGTAGGGGGGCGGATGGGGGCGAATAGTGCTTGACATGGTGATGATAATAGTCGTGGTCAAGATTGCATCATATGTGTATGCAACAATTATTGCAAAAGGCGTGTTAGATGTTAATACTAAACACTACAAGCTGTCGTAACTCACCTGTGTTGATTCTCGTGGACTCGAACAAGGTGCCGCCAAGGACGGCATTACCAGAAAACAAGAACAAAATGTAACGCAGTCTGATGGTAAGACAGTGTTATTAAGGTACGGGGGAGGGGGGGAGATTTCACCATGTTGAGCAGTGGTCACGGTGAGGGAGCACAGAATGATTTAAGGGGGGGGGGTGGGGGTGCCTTGGTGGTGAACATTTAAACGCGGCTATTGTGGTGTATCCTTAGAGCATGTTTACCTTCACAATGTCACTATATGATGAAATTTCATATTTTTGGTCTTAATGGAGTTTATCGATCATCGTCTGTGACTGAACTGTTCCTCATACCCCAGTCTCATCATCCACCTGTATGTTGCTGTACTAGGTTCGCATACTAATCCGTGTGAGTTTGCATGTGATCTTGACTAGTTAATTCAGGCTAAATCGCTAGTAGCAAAGGCGATGCGACTAATTTGGTGTAGTTAGGTTAGTACAGGAGGGAGGGCAGGTGCACACCGGGGAGGTCCTGAGCCTGGCCTTAGCCCATGTGATGCAAGGCTCCGGTATCGATTCCTTGCGTCCACTTGGTGGCCTCTGCAGCGTCCGCGGGAGTCTTTGCATAGTGGGACCGTCTGGGGCTGAACGCACGCAAATTGTGGATGAGTTTTGAGGGGATAGAGGACTACCTTACTGAAGGTGATGGTACGGCAGTAAAAGATGGTTTTGAACATCCAGACAGCTTGTGTCCAATTAATGAAGACTGGGGCGAGCTTATGTTAGGGTTTTTATGACCGTGAAAGATAGTAGACTTTAGTACGTGGTGTTTAAAGCTATAAGTCAGGCATAATGATTTAGCACTGTCTAATGATCTCATGATTTCAGAGAAGACTTAAGATTGACCGTGTGGTGAAAACTGACGAGTCTTGTGTTTTTTGTGTTTCAGGATCGACTTTGGTTGAGCCCAAACACAATGCTGGAGTTGGACCCGGATGCAGAGTGGTCCCAAGAGGGGCCCTCACTCTCTAACGACATCTGGAAGAAGTTCGAGCTGATCCTGACACCGCCCCGCTCTCCCCTGAGAGAGACAGACATCGACCTCCTGTCGCCCTTCCCTGGTAAAGACATGTTCAACCTGAAGACAGAAGGTATGGATTTCGACATAGACTTCGGCAACACCCTAGAGATGCCGCTACTGGAGGAAGATGATCTCTACTTCGACCTCGACTCTATAGATCTGGATAACAACCTGCCATATGACCTTCCAGGAGGTGGGCCAGTTGGCTTGCCCTGCACCCATGGGCTAGGACGAGGCACATGCACCAGCTGTACACAGTTGGCGCTAGCTGGCTCTGAGTTGCGACACGACTGCATGTGGGTAGGGACTTGTACTGCCGAGGCCCACAACCACAGTCACTACCGCCGCCCCCGCATACACAAGGACTCCGGTTCACAGATCACAGAGCTCCTAATGGAGTGCTCGTCAACAGTGCTGGAGGGCGCGGCGGGGTTCACACACATCACAGACCTAGACTGTACAGACTCGGGGGACTCACATTTGGACGTCGCGGAGACGAGTCTTCACCAACAGTTCTCCGGCAACCACATCGCGCGGCCAGATACACCGTCCGAGTCTTCAGAAACAGACACCGACGAGGATATTGACCACTACGACGACGACGACGACGAGTGTCCAAGAGGGGAGGAGCTGTACGGCGTATGTCACGAAGAAGAAGTTTACACTAGCGAAACGCCCACGTCATCAGGCATCGTGCACGTCGACCACAGCTACCACTGCGTAAGAATACCCTCGCCCACCCCCACAGCATCGTCATCAACTTCGCCCTCTCATTACAACCGCTCGTCACTCCTACATACGCCGTCAGATTCTGGTGAGTAACTGTCATGACTCGTAATTCTCGCCCCATCTTCGGTGTCACTACACTTGAGTCATGGTCGGGATCAGATTATGTAGCACGACTCACTCCAGAGCGTGAGTCAGGGTAGAGCCCTTGCTTAACTTCTATTTTCAACAGTGTCATAGTGACATTTTTCCAAGGTGTAAACACAGGAAGCTGAGGCGAGGATGTACAACCGTATCTCCGTGGCATGCGTGTTGATCTCTAAAACATTTTGTTGAAGTTTTTTGTTTGACTAATTTTCATCCGTAACTTGGCAAGTATTCTACCCTCGGCAAGTAAGTGTGAGGATGAACTGTAGTTTGTAATTTAAGAAACTTTTTTTGTTACGAGATACATGTACAGTATTCCCCTGCGGCCAATTGACCATCTAGGAACACTAGCACAAGGTCGCCCCCACCGACCAGACGCTATGCTGTAGATCGATGGTGAATCTACCTCTCCCAGGGTCTGGAGGTCGGGTGTCGCCTTCCACATACGCACTAGTGTAGAGGCTATAGTTGCTTAACGGGGGGGGGGGGGATATACACCCTAATTTCACCGACGTTGGTCACGCATTATCGAGTAGACCTTAGGGGGTGACTGACTATCGATTGTCTAAATGAATGTATATGATTTACCTTCAGAGAATCATAAGTTATACTTACAGGAACATTCTTCAGGTTGTAGCTTCTCTTGTGCTGGGTTGTGCAGTGGTAGAAATTTTCATAAACTCAACGTGGTTGCAAATAAAAAAAAAACCCCGAGGTAGATTTAGCCATTTTTTGTCAGTTATCTTGGTTATCTCTCTGAATATCTTGTTATTGTTGAGAGGTAGAAGGACATCTGTCTAGTGGGGGCGTTGGTGAGGAGGAGTGAGGTATGAGGAGTGTTTCCGGGGGGTTGCATGTGCCAGAGGCGACCGCGTCTGTCTGGCGCCCAATGTTGCGTCATTGGGGGAACTACCAGCTGTGCTCTTTTGCTTTCTACTAATCTTTCTACTGCTCTACATCCTTCTACTGCTTCTATCCTTTCTCTTCTCCAATTCCATCACTTCTTCCACTGTCCTCCCTTCTACTAAACTGTTTCTCTTACCTTCCACATTGCCTCTCCCCCACTCCCACGGCAATCTTTCCCTCCCCTCACAGCTCTGTTAACCTATCTCCCTCCCCCTCTCCCTCACCCCTTCCCTTCGTCATGTCTCTCCCTCACCCCTTCCCTTCATCATGTCTCTCCCTCACCCCTTCCCTTCGTCATGTCTCTCTTTCACCCCTTTTCTCCATCATGTCTCCCTTACCCCTTCTCTCCATATCTCCTCTTCATCTGTCTCCTCATTCTTACAGCTTCCTCTCCTCTCCTATAACAACCATCATTAATCACGATCTCATTATCTGGTCATTGGATTAGACAATTGTTAGGTATAATTAAGGTGCTTAGTTACCTAGAGACGGCTATGGAGTGTTTAGTGTTAACTAGAGACAGATGTTTGGTGTTACCTAGAGACAAAAGATGCTTGGTGTTACCTAGAGACATAGCAGATATTTGATGTTACCTAGAGACAGTTATGAGGTGTTGGTGTTACCGAGAGACATGTTTGGTGTTACCGAGAGACAGTAATGGGGTGATTAGTGTTAGCTAGAGACGGTTATGAGGTGTTTGGTGTTACCTAGCGACAGTTTGGTGTTACCTAGAGATCATTATGAAGTGTTTAGTGTTACCTAGAGAGAGAGAGAGATAAGCTGTTTGGCGTTACCTAGAGACAGTTAAAATGTGCCCGTTGCTGCTGCTACACATACTAACTCACACTACGCCTTCATAATACATACAGATCCTAGGGCTTCCTAGAGGAGCCACCTTTTCACTTGTCATCTCTAATAAGATAGCAGTTTTACGAGTTGAGGCTATATTTACTCCCTCCCTCCCTCCTAGTACACCCCACCCTCCGCCTCCTGCTAGTACTCCCTCCTCTGCCGCGTCTTGAACCATAAATACAGCTGGTGATGGTCGTGTGGCTTCGGTCTGGCTCGTGGAGATACGGATGTCTACGGGTTCCACACTTCCGAATTCAGTTTCATGTTCTTGTATTCAGGGGTTTTGTTGGCAGCTGTCTCACGAGTTATGATTTTTTTTCATGGGTGTATATCCCCCTCGATGGATATTGTTATTTTTTAAAGGCAATGTTTGCTTTACGGTTTGCCAAGTTAGTTTGTTTAGTTCTCTAGCGTGTGGAGAAGTGTGGTGATATGGTTAGCTTTATAGAACGGTGAAATGGTTAGCTTTCTGTGGCGAGATGGTAAGCTTTTTGTTGTGAAATGGTTAGCTTTATAGAGTAGTAAAGGTAGTACTAGTGTCTAAGAGTCATAAATAAGAATCATTATCCTCTGGTGTGAGTTTTATTCTAACCGGCCAGGCACTTCTGAGGTTAACATTGATAGTTTTGTGGGATTTACTGGTGGGGGGGGGGGGTCCTTCAGGCAGGGGCGAACGACCGCCTTGGGTGGGTTTTCAGAAGTAGTGGTGTCTCGTGGGTTGAACACCTGCTGCAGGAAGGTACGTCTCCGTCAGAAGTGAGAGGGCGTCTCTTTACCCTAACAACCACTCTTAGGATCTACAAGTGAGGGGTGAGATGGGTAAAATGGGGGCGGGGAGAGTTGGTAATGGGATAAGTAGAAGTAATTGGAGTAGGTATTTGGGTAGAGAAAATTTTACTAAATGTGAATTAGTTATGATCCACTTATTAGGTACAAGTGTGGAGCGCTGTGAATAAGATACGCCACACACTTGTAATATTATTTTAATTTATTCGAAAAAAATGTACAGTATAAAGATTATGAGCACGGCTTGAGGCTTTGAGAGATGTAACGTTACTTGAAAAGCCCGCATCATACACAGCTTTTTTCACGTGTAGATCATCGTTTTGAGCTGAAGCGACGCGGAGGAACTTACAAATTTACGATCATGATTTGGGTGTCAGAAGAGGTATCGTGGCTGTCGGGGAGGTGTTGGTCCCTGGCGAGGTCCTGCAGTCTTCACTCTTTAACATCCAGGCGCGTCAAAAATCGCCACGTGACATTAAGAGGCAGCAGGAGGCGTCGTGAGCCACTGATTTAGACTCAGGGTCATCCAAACCTCTTGCACTTGTTCATTGGACTCGAACGGTTCTCCTCACCTGACCCCGAAAAGCTCGAACGTGGAATTGAACGGCCACCAAAACAGGTTGTACCTTTAATTTTTTTATTCACACATATCACAACTTTGGAGTGGGGCTTGTAATCGAATTCACTAGCGGGCAGTTCGGACTTTGGACTCTTAATCCATCTTCGAATGCTCAGACTTGGCCCAGAAACTATATGTGGAGTGGGGGAGAAAGGAGGGTGGGTGGGTGGGTCCAGGTGGAATGAGGTGGCAGGCACGCTCGGGTGGAGTGTTAAAATCCCCAGCCAACACAATCAAGACTGCGCATTTTCAGGAGTCACGGTGGCGGAGGTTTTGACCGGGAGGAACCTTGGAGAGAGAGAGAGACGGTGGAGTGTTCCAGGCCACTGTGTCTGCTGCACCGAGACTTAGTGATTTTTTACCGCTTTTGTAGAATCAATGAAGGTCGGGATGAGAGAGACTTGTTTATTGGGTGTGATCAATACATTAATGATTTGATGTGGCGTAAAGGTATTTTATATTCCCCGCCCCCCATTTAATACGAGTGGGGTTTAATCAATGAACTTTTGAGATGGTTCGCCTTGGTATGGCTAAAGAAAGATAATGCACTAGGTTTTTTAAAGGGAAAATTTGATAGATGAAACTTGAATTTCACGAGTGGGAATGAAGAGGTTGGCAAACTGTCGGAGAGGCTATTGAATGAATGAACCCAGAAACTTGGGCGGGTTTAATTTAATGTTAAAGGCCATTTTTGTACAGGTGGCTAATGGGGGTGTCTAATATTTTTATATGAAAGCTTCATTTTTAAAATGTTAAGTCGTAGGATTAGTCTTGTCAAAGAAGTTGTTTCAAGTTTATTTATTTTTTTACTCGCGTGCATTGAATGCAGGAATTTTGCGGTCGACTTCGCCTGGAGTTCATTCACCTGTGTCATTCAGTTTCAAGAAGATTCCCCACTTGTGTTATAACGCTGGTAGTCACTAGACGGGCCATTTATTACACTCTACGGGTTATTTAATATCGTGGGTGTGTTTAGTTTAGTTAAGACTCCATTATGAGTTTTACTGTGACCGAGTCGGTAAGATCGTTAGCTGTGTGTGTGTTGACATTATGGATGGCAAGCTCAGGTGTGTCGAGGAAAGTGTGGTAGGTTGTCGCTGGTCATGCTTGTTTATGTACATGTGTGTCTATGTTATCCATTAAACATATAATTCACTGTCGAGACATCCCCTTGAACGTGGCAGTGACTTTTTGCGTTTAGTTCAGGCGACGTATGGCATGATGACGCGTGTGTCGTTGACGGAGAATAATACCTGCAATTCACAGGTGTTGGTCAGGTCTTTGCACTCACTGAGACAACAAGCAGACAGATTCCCGACGGTGTAACCCAAAACCGCTGTGACCTTGGTAGGTGTCGTTGCTCGCAAGCCTGGGGGACGGGGAGGCAGGTAGGTGGGCTGGTAGGGATGGGAGGTGGGGAGGCGTGTGGGGAGGGGAGGTGAGGAGGCGTGTGGGGAGGGGAGATAGGATAGTGCGTGGGAGGGAAGGAGGAGGAAGAATAAGAGGAAGTCAATAATTTAAAGTAGAATAGGAAGAGCAGCAGCAAGTAGTAGTATTGCTAGAGAAGGGAGGGAGTACTCGTGTGTGCGTATACAGTATGGGTAAGCCATATGTGTGTTAGGGGGGACATCCCAGTGTAAACTTCCTTGGGGAGTTTATATACACTTGCTGCCGGAACTAGAGTCTCGGGGGGGGGGGGTCATTGGTCGTTTTGGGGTGTGATAGTAATTAGGTCGAGTTACTTGATCGACAGTGACTATTGTGGGTCGAGTTACCTG